ACCTTCTCCATGTATACCTCAACCATCGTCACAAAAAACTTGATCGTCGCCGCGCTGTCCGACTCCACACGAAGCTGCGCCTCTTCAATCATGTCCTGCGCAAAGCGCGGAGCCACGCCTTGGCCTTCCTTGTCGTCCAAATCACCAAAAAGACTATGCGTCTTTCCACTTCCCGTCTGCCCATAAGCAAAGAGGCAAACGTTAAATCCCTCAAATGCCTCCTTCAGCATTGGGCGTCCAATCGCCTCGTAGATCTCCTCCTGACCTCCACTAAACACACGGTCAAACTTAAACATGGTGGCGCCTCGAGCAAGCTCAGCGTCAATCAACACAGCACGTGGGTCATCCGCGTCAGCGTGGACTATTTCCTTTTCACCCTGCCGGGGAGGGCAGACGCGAACACTCACTTGAACGCGACCGGTGGTCCCAGCCAAGTCTCCCATTCCTACACCCCAGAAAACCCTAGAATAAAGAAAAAAAAATACAATAGTATTATTAGTAATAATACTGCGCTTTCTCAAATAACATTTAACGGTCCACACTACAAAAATACAGCAATGGAAAAACTTGAAAATAAAAGTAAAACATTAAACAGACGTCACAAAAAGTAAGAATGCGTACGTTTGAAATGGGGCCATAATTCTAGTAGTGAAGCTTCGTTCGACGCCAATGACGGCGCTTCTCGTTCCACTTAATACGATTGCCAGTGCGGAGACGAATCCAGTACGGAACAGGCCTGTTCTGGTTCAGCTTCTTTGCATACTTCTTCTTGACTGCGAGTGGCTTGAAACGGCCCATTTTCCTTTGATAATACGCTTAAAATAAACAAATAAAAATGGAAAAAAGAAATAAAACAAATAAGAGAAATGAAAAAAAAAAACTGACAGAATGTTGCTTGTGTGTGGTTTAGTTTACGTGGACAAGACCACATTATAATGTCAAACAAGAAAGAGTCCTCATTTTCGTAATTGTGAGGAAATATAAAAATAAAAATCAAAAATCAAAAACAAACGGAAACATTCATGACTCTATCGCATGACTTCCATAAGAGATAAAAAATGCTTCGATGAAGTTCACCAAGTGAGAGATGTCCGTCGTCCCACACATCTCTCGAATGCTGTGCATGCTCAACATCGGGTTTCCAATATCAACAGTTCGTATTCCAGATAAAGAAGAAAGAATGGGCCCAATTGTTGAACCACATGAAGAGTCATTCTTTACACAAAATTCTTGCATGGGAATTGATGCTGTTTTCGCTATCGACTTTATTAAAGAAGCGGTAGCTCCATTTGTGGCATAACGCATATTTGCGTTGTATTTAATAACAGGCCCGCGATGAAGAAGAGGTCGATGATTTTCTTCATGCTTGTCTTTGTAATTTGGATGAAGCGCGTGCGCACCATCCACGGAAAGCAAAAAAGAATTTGCCACAAGCGTGGATCTTAGTGCCCTTGAAGCAATAATATGTTCAATCAAGTCTGGAACCAGGGTTCCACCTGCGCCCTGTGTGGTTTCAGACCCAACCTCTTCGTTATCAAAAAGACAAACCATTCTTATCATGTTGTCAGTATCCAGACTCCTGTCCGCTTGGAGAAGAGCTTTTATACCACAAAAACAAGAAATCAGGTTGTCCAGACGTGGCGCAAAAATAAACTCATCACATGCCCCACCAATTGTTGCAGGCTGAGTATCAATAACACTTAGATCATAATCCACAATATCCTCCGTGAGACAACCCAATTCCTCTGCAAGTAGTTTCATTAGATGAAAACTGTGGCGTTTGTTGTTATCCCCATTTAAGGCACCCGAAACCTCGGTTGCAATAATGGGAACCAAGTGTTTTTCTTTGTTTGGCGCAAATGCTTCACGTTCCTGAGCTGTTTGAAGGTGAATTGCAAGGGAAGGAATCCGTACAATTGGCCGCTTTAAATTCACAAGACGTTTTTCCAATTTGGGTGAAGATAAAAATACTCTGCCGGCGACTGTTAAATCTCGGTCAAACCACGTGTGCCATAGGCCACCACCGTAACACTGAACTGCAATACCCTGATATTCCCCTTTATCAGCCTTTGTTCTTGGTTTTAATGCAAGGACCGGAGAATCCGTATGGGCCCCCACAATTTTTATACCATTAGCAGGTTCAAATTTGCCCCCGACAGAAAATGCAACCAGACTGCTATCATTTCTCGTAACGAAATACCGCCCGCCCGCCATAATAGAGGGCCATGCTTCACCTTCTTTGAGAAGTTTGTATCCAGCAGCAATCAACAAAGAGGAAATAACCTCAACCACATGAAACGGGGTACAGGCCTTATTAATAAACTCAACAAATTCTTTTGCAAGTTCCATGACAAAAAACTCAAGAACGATTCTACAAAAAACAAAAATGAAAATAATCCTAATATTATTGCTTTGTTCTGAAAATAACTAAATAAATGAATAAATAAAAGATTGATGATGCATCCCCTATAGCACAATTTGTGCAGGAAAGGTTGCTAACCCCAACAAAAAAGAATAAATCGCTAGAAAGATAAACCAATTAAAAATAAAATAAAAATCTCTCATATATACGAGTATATATATATATATATATATATATATATATATATATATA